AGAGAGGTAGAGTGCATGCTATAGTGTAAACAAGAGGGTAGAGTGCATGCTATAGTGTAAACAAGAGGGTAGAGTGCATGCTATAGTGTAAACAAGAGGGTAGAGTGCATGCTATAGTGTAAACAAGAGGGTAGAGTTCATGCTATGGTGTAAACAAGAGGGTAGAGTTCATGCTATAGTGTAAACATGAGGATAGAGTGCATGCTATAGTGTAAACAAGAGAGGTAGAGTGCATGCTATAGTGTAAACATGAGGATAGAGTGCATGCTATAGTGTAAACAAGAGGGTAGAGTGCATGCTATAGTGTAAACAAGAGGGTAGAGTGCATGCTATAGTGTAAACAAGAGGGTAGAGTTCATGCTATAGTGTAAACATGAGGATAGAGTGCATGCTATAGTGTAAACAAGAGAGGTAGAGTGCATGCTATAGTGTAAACATGAGGGTAGAGTGCATGTTATAGTGTAAACAAGAGGGTAGAGTGCATGCTATAGTGTAAACAAGAGGGTAGAGTTCATGCTATAGTGTAAACAAGAGGGTAGAGTTCATGCTAAAGTGTAAACATGAGGGTAGAGTGCATACTATAGTGTAAACATGAGGGTAGAGTGCATGTTATAGTGTAAACAAGAGGGTAGAGTGCATGCTATAGTGTAAACAAGAGGGTAGAGTGAATGCTATAGTGTAAACAAGAGAGGTAGAGTGCATGCTATAGTGTAAACAAGAGGGTAGAGTTCATGCTATAGTGTAAACATGAGGGTAGAGTGCATACTATAGTGTAAACATGAGGGTAGAGTGCATGCTATAGTGTAAACAAGAGGGTAGAGTGCATGTTATAGTGTAAACAAGAGGGTAGAGTGCATGCTATAGTGTAAACAAGAGGGTAGAGTGCATGCTATAGTGTAAATATGAGGGTAGAGTTCATGCTAAAGTGTAAACATGAGGGTAGAGTGCATACTATAGTGTAAACATGAGGGTAGAGTGCATGTTATAGTGTAAACAAGAGGGTAGAGTGCATGCTATAGTGTAAACAAGAGGGTAGAGTGAATGCTATAGTGTAAACAAGAGGGTAGAGTGCATGTTATAGTGTAAACAAGAGGGTAGAGTGCATGCTATAGTGTAAACAAGAGGGTAGAGTGCATGCTATAGTGTAAATATGAGGGTAGAGTGCATGCTATAGTGTAAACAAGAGAGGTAGAGTGCATGCTATAGTGTAAATATGAGGGTAGAGTGCATGCTATAGTGTAAACAAGAGAGGTAGAGTGCATGCTATAGTGTAAATATGAGGGTAGAGTGCATGCTATAGTGTAAACAAGAGAGGTAGAGTGCATGCTATAGTGTAAACAAGAGAGGTAGAGTGCATGCTATAGTGTAAATATGAGGGTAGAGTGCATGCTATAGTGTAAACAAGAGAGGTAGAGTGCATGCTATAGTGTAAATATGAGGGTAGAGTGCATGCTATAGTGTAAACAAGAGAGGTAGAATGCATGCTATAGTGTAAACAAGAGGGTAGAGTGCATGCTATAGTGTAAATATGAGGGTAGAGTGCATGCTATAGTGTAAACAAGAGAGGTAGAGTGCATGCTATAGTGTTAATATGAGGGTAGAGTGCATGCTATAGTGTAAACAAGAGAGGTAGAGTGCATGCTATAGTGTAAACATGAGGGTAGAGTGCATGCTATAGTGTAAACAAGAGGGTAGAGTGCATGCTATAGTGTAAACATGAGGGTAGAGTGCATGCTATAGTGTAAACATGAGGGTAGAGTGCATGCTATAGTGTAAACAAGACAGGTAGACCGTATACTTGGCACTGCTGTCGTCCTCAGTGCCACACACCTTCCCTCCGCTCTGCTAGTCAAGGAAGGCAGACAAGAAGTGCCAGGTCAAGGCCGGGGCGGCGGAAACATAACTGACTCAAACTTCCTTTATTTAGGTAATTGCTGGGAGACTGGCAGGTGTGTGGCGGGTGTGTGGCGGTGCTTCAGGACCTTCCCTGCCCTAGCCCGTGCTTGAGTCTACACAACACTCTCCGGCCTTTACATATTAACTTTATTTTGCAAGCCTAGTCAACGTAACTGTATAGTTCTTGTCTGTGTAAATGTTGTGATTATTGTAATGTTTTCGTTTTATTTGGCCGTTTTCCCCGCTTGTTGTGACCCTGAATGTCCCCGTGTGTACAGTCACCGCCTCTCTCTCTCTCTCTCTCTCTCACTACGCTTATGGATTTATTGACTTGTCTTGTCAGGTCTCCTTATTGACTAAAATAATTGCTCCAAGTTTGTTAAATTATTTATGTTGTTGCTTTGTGTTTGTATGAAGGTTGACGCATGTGTGTGTGTGTGTGTGTGTGTGTGTGTTTGTGTATGTGTGTGTGTGTGTGTGTGTGTGTGTGTGTGTGTGTGTGTGTGTGTGTGTGTGTGTGTGTGTGTGTGTGTGTGTGTGTGTGTGTGTGTGTGTGTGTGTGTGTGTGTGTGTGTGTGTGTGTGTGTGTGTGTGTGTGTATGTGTGTCTGTGTGTGTGTGTGTGTGTGTGTGTGTGTGTGTGTGTGTGTGTGTGTGTGTGTGTGTGTGTGTGTGTGTGTGTGTGTGTGTGTGTGTGTGTGTGTGTGTGTGTGTACTCACCTAGTTGTACTCACCTAGTTGTGTTTGCGGGGGTTGAGCTCTGGCTCTTTGGTCCCGCCTCTCAACCGTCAATCAACAGGTGTACAGATTCCTGAGCCTATCGGGCTCTGTCATATCTACACTTGAAACTGTGTATGGAGTGAGCCTCCACCACATCACCCCCTACCCACATCACCCACCCCCCTGTGTGTGTGTGTCTGTGTGTGTGTGTGTGTGTGTGTGTGTGTGTGTGTGTGTGTGTGTTTGTGTGTGTGTGTGTGTGTGTGTGTGTGTGTGTGTGTGTGTGTGTGTGTGTGTGTGTGTGTGTGTGTGTGTGTGTGTGTGTGTGTGTGTGTGTGTGTGTACTCACCTAGTTGCACTCCCCTAGTTGTACTTGCGGGGGGTTGACCTCTGGCTCTTTGGTCCCGCCTTTCAACTATCAATCAGTTGGTGTACAGGTTCCTGAACCTATTGGGCTCTATCATATCTACACTTGAAACTGTGTATGGAGTCAGCCTCCACCACATCACTTCCTAATGCATTCCATCTGATAACTACTTTGACTTTCGTTAAAATGAAAACATTCTTTCTATAGTCTTTTGGAAGCTCAGTTTCCACCTGTGTCCCCTTGTTCGTGTACCACCCGTGCTAAATACTCCGTCTTTATCTATCCTATCAATTCCCCCGAGAATTTTGAATATGGTAATTATGTCTCTCCCGAAACTCATCTGTCTTTCAGCAACATGAGGTTCAATTAATGTAGCCTTTCCTCGTAGCTCATACCTCGTAGTTCTGGGCAAGTCCCAGAACTACGGTATACCTTTGAACCGTATACCTACGGCATACCTCTGATGGCATACCTTTGAATCTTCTCCAACTTCATCTAGTGCTTGAGTAGATATGGACGCTACGCTGAAGCCGCATACTCCAGGACTGGTCTAACACATGCTGTATACAAGGCTCTGTGGTATACAAGGACCTTATACAAACTTCTAAAGGAACTCCTGACGATAGCCAGTCTCGCATATGCCGCTGATGTTATCTTTTTGATGTGACTTCAGGAGAAAGGTTCGGTGTGATATTAATCCCTAGATTGTCGGTTTCATAAAGAATTTCATCTCCCATTTGTTGGACATTTCTTTGTCCAGATCATCTGTAGCATTTTTTATATCTTCCTCAGCCTTAATTTTCCTCATAATTTTTGCATCATTAGCAAACTTTGAGAGTAATGGAGCCTATTCCCTCTGGAGGATAATTTACTTATACGAGAAACAGGATTGGCACCCCGGGAAACTAGTGACACCCCGGAACTCTGAGACCTCACCCCTCACAGTGACTCGCTCTCTTCTGTTGCTTAGGTATTCCCTTATCCACATGAGTACCTTCCCTGTCACTCCTGCCTAATTCTTCAACTTATGCACTAGTCTCTTATAGGGTAGTGTAACAAAGGCTTTCTTGAAATTCAAAAATATGCAGTCTGGCCACCATTCTCTTTCTTGTCTAATTTTTGTTGCTTGGTCATAGAATTCTATTAAACCTGTGAGGCACGATTTACCATCTCTGAACTCATGCTGGTGGTGTCTTCTATTTCTCTAGATATTTTACTATTTTTTCTTGCAGTCTTCTCTGTCTCCAAGTTAAGGAAACTGGCATTGTAGTTAAGTGCCTCCTGTCTGAATGCCTTTTTGTATATCCGGGTTGGATTAGAAGTCTTTTTGGTATTTTTCTTGTTACCAGTGACCTATTATGCACCATAGAAAGTGGCAGGCATAGTACTTCTGTTCCTTTTTTTTAGTATCCATGTTGATATTCTGTCGGGACCAACAGCCTTTGTCACGCCCAGCTCAAGCAAAGGTTTCCTTACCTCAGCACGTGTAATCCCAAGGTCCTCCAGTAATTCCTGGTGTAACGCCCCCGCTCTTAGTTCAGGAACTCCTCGTTGCTCTATTATGAAGACCTCCTAGAAACTCTTGATTTTCTAGCACGCCTTCTCATTTTCACTGAGCCTGTCCATCACTCTTCTGTTTCTTTACTTGTTCCTTCACTGAAGTATTCCTCGTGATCTGGCTGTGATGCAGTTTGGCTCATGTCTTTGTTTGCTATGTATGTATGTATGTATGCATGAATGTATGTATGTATGCATGAATGTATGTATGTATGTGGTTTTTAACTCTTTTCTTGTATTTGTTTGGTATTCAAATGTTTACTTTATTTTAATGATATTTCAGTAAACAATAATTATGCATATTTTGTAAGGTTTTAACAATATGGAACAATTATTGCGATCAGTATTAATGACGATTTTTATATCTCTCCGACCCTGACGTCTCACCCCCCCTCCACCCCAATCCCCTACCTGCCTCTCCCCCCCCCCCCCTCCTGGTGCCCGTGACGTGGGTGGTGCAGGCGCAGCTGGTGCCGTGTGAGTGGTGCGGGAGGACCTTCTTCCCCGAGCGGCTGGAGGTGCACCAGCGAGGGTGTAAGCCGCCACCAGGAGCACCCAAGAAGACGCTCAAGGTCAGTCACCAGCTGCATAATCTTTCACCATACCTGCTTCACCACCACCACACCTACCTTCACCATCACCACACCCACCTTCACCACCACCACACCCACCTTCACCACACCCACCTTCACCATCACCACACCCACCTTCACCATCACCACACCCACCTTCACCATCACCACACCCACCTTCACCCATCACCACACTCACCTGCACCATCACCACACCCACCTTCACCACCACCACACCCACCTTCACCACACCCACCTTCACCATCACCACACCCACCTTCACCATCACCACACCCACCTTCACCACCACCACACCCACCTTCACCATCACCACACCCACCTTCACCATCACCACACCCACCTTCACCACCACCACACCCACCTTCACCACACCCACCTTCACCATCACCACACCCACCTTCACCATCACCACACCCACCTTCACCATCACCACACCCACCTTCACCACCACCACACCCACCTTCACCATCACCACACCCACCTTCACCATCACCACACCCACCTTCACCACCACCACACCCACCTTCACCACCACCACACCCACCTTCACCACCACCACACCCACCTTCACCACCACCACACCCACCTTCACCATCACCACACCCACCTTCACCACCACCACACCCACCTTCACCACACCCACCTTCACGATCACCACACCCACCTTCACCATCACCACACCCACCTTCACCACCACCACACTCACCTTCACCACCACCACACCCACCTTCACCATCACCACACCCACCTTCACCATCACCACACCCACCTTCACCATCACCACACTCACCTTCACCATCACCACACCCACCTTCACCATCACCACACCCACCTTCACCATCACCACACCCACCTTCACCACCACCACACTCACCTTCACCACCACCACACCCACCTTCACCATCACTACACCCACCTTCACAACCACCACACTCACCTTCACATCCACCACACTCACCTTCACCACCACCACACCCACCTTCACCATCACCACACCCGCCTTCACCACCACCACACCCACCTTCACCATCACCACACCCACCTTCACCATCACCACACCCACCTTCACCATCACCACACCCACCTTCACCATCACCACACCCACCTTCACCATCACCACACCCGCCTTCACCATCACCACACCCGCCTTCACCACCACCACACCCACCTTCACCATCACCACACCCACCTTCACCATCACCACACCCACATTCACCATCACCACACCCACCTTCACCATCACCACACCCACCTTCACCACACCCGCCTTCACCACCACCACACCCACCTTCACCATCACCACACCCACCTTCACCATCACCACACCCACCTTCACCATCACCACACCCACCTTCACCATCACCACACCCACCTTCACCATCACCACACCCACCTTCACCATCACCACACCCGCCTTCACCACCACCACACCCACCTTCACCATCACCACACCCACCTACACCAACACCACACCCACCTTCACCATCACCACACCCACCTTCACCATCACCACACCCGCCTTCACCACCACCACACCCACCTTCACCATCACCACACCCACCTTCACCATCACCACACCCGCCTTCACCATCACCACACCCACCTTCACCATCACCACAACCACCTTCACCATCACCACACCCACCTTCACCATCACCACACCCACCGTCACCATCACCACACCCACCTTCACCGTCACCACACCCACCTTCACCATCACCACACTCACCTTCACCATCACCACACCCACCGTCACCATCACCACACCCACCTTCACCATCACCACACCCACCTTCACCATCACCACACCCACCTTCACCATCACCACACCCACCTTCACCATCACCACACCAATATGATGGACTACATAGAGTACACGCCTCCATCCCCCTAAAACAACAGTACTCACAGTACCCAACTGTTCCAAGGCACAACAATGTACTGATGGGTTACTATACTGTTTGTATATTAATGTATCAGTGCAAAAAAAAGGTAGTTATGAGGAGAAAGCTCCAAGCCACTTATCTATGTTAAGACTTACCTTACATAACCTATGCTGCCCAAACAACCTTAGTATATATATTAGTGCATATAATAGTACATATAATAGTACATATAATATAGTACATATATTAAGTTTTTTAGGATCCAGAGGACCATTTTTGCAGCTTTAAGTATAATATTGTTATGAGTAGTGACATTTAAGGCGGGAGGGTTGTAAGGGAGAGGTAGCCTGGTCGAGGACCGGGCCGCAGTGTCGCGTGATGATCGTATGATAACATAGAGTGTGTGGACAGGCGCGGCCGGAGTCGTCAGCCACGGTGCTGAACGCGTCCATGGGCCCGGCCAAGCCCACCATAGTCTGCTACATCTGCGGGCGAGAGTTCGGCAGCCTCTCCATCGCCATCCACGAGCCCCAGTGTCTGAGGAAGTGGAAGGTGGAGAACGAGAACCTTCCTCACCACCTACAGCGACCACAACCTCGCAAACCTGACGTCATCTATGATGGTTAGTAACGTTAGTTCTTAGTGCTGGTTAGTTCTACCATTGTGTGGTGGTTAGTGTTCCCAGTGTGGTGGTTAGTGCATCCATCGTGTGGTGGTTAGTGTTCCCAGTGTGGTGGTTAGTGCTCTCATTGTGGGGTGGTTAGTGCTCCCATTGTGTGGTAGTTAGTGCCCTCATTGTGTGGTGGTTAGTGTTGCCATTGTGTGGTGGTTAGTGTTCCCATAGTGTGGTAGTTAGTGTCATCATTGTGTGGTGGTTAGTGTTCCCAGTGTGGTGGTTAGTTCTACCATTGTGTGGTGGTTAGTGTTCCCATAGTGTGGTAGTTAGTGCCCTCATTGTGTGGTGGTTAGTGTTCCCAGTGTGGTGGTTAGTGCTCCCATTGTGTGGTAGTTAGTGCATCCATCGTGTGGTGGTTAGTGTTCCCAGTGTGGTGGTTAGTGCTCCCATTGTGGGGTGGTTAGTGCTCCCATTGTGTGGTGGTTAGTGCATCCATTGTGTGGTGGTTAGTGCTCCCATTGTGTGGTGGTTAGTGCATCCATTGTGTGGTGGTTAGTGTTCTCAGTGTGGTGGTTAGTGCTCCCATTGTGGGGTGGTTAGTGCATCCATCGTGTGGTGGTTAGTGTTCCCAGTGTGGTGGTTAGTGCTCCCATTGTGGGGTGGTTAGTGCTCCCATTGTGTGGTAGTTAGTGCATCCATTGTGTGGTGGTTAGTGTTCCCAGTGTGGTGGTTAGTACTCCCATTGTGTGGTGGTTAGTGCTACCATTGTGTGGTGGTTAGTGTTCCCATTGTGTGGTGGTTAGTGCTACCATTGTGTGGTGGTTAGTGCTACCATTGTGTGGTGGTTAGTGCTACCATTGTGTGGTGGTTAGTGCTACCATTGTGTGGTGGTTAGTGTTACCATTGTGTGGTGGTTAGTGCTCTAATTGTGTGGTGGTTAGTGCTACCATTGTGTGGTGGTTAGTGCTCTAATTGTGTGGTGGTTAGTGCTCTAATTGTGTGGTGGTTAGTGCTACCATTGTGTGGTGGTTAGTGCTCCCATTGTGTGGTGGTTAGTGCTCTAATTGTGTGGTGGTTAGTGCTACCATTGTGTGGTGGTTAGTGCTACCATTGTGTAGTGATTAGTGCTACCATTGTGTGGTGGTTAGTGCTACCATTGTGTGGTGGTTAGTGCTACCATTGTGTGGTGGTAAGTGCTACCATTGTGTGGTGGTTAGTGCTACCATTGTGTGGTGGTTAGTGCTACCATTGTGTGGTGGTTAGTGCTCTCATTGTGTGGTGGTTAGTGCTACCATTGTGTGGTGGTTAGTACTACCATTGTGTGGTGGTTAGTGCTACCATTGTGTGGTCGTTAGTACTACCATTGTGTGGTGGTTAGTGCTACCATTGTGTGGTGGTTAGTGCTACCATTGTGTGGTGGTTAGTGCTACCATTGTGTGGTGGTTAGTGTTCCATTGTGTGGTGGTTAGTGTTCCATTGTGTGGTGGTTAGTGCTACCATTGTGTGGTGGTTAGTGCTACCATTGTGTGGTTAGTGCTACCATTGTGTGGTGGTTAGTGCTACCATTGTGTGGTGGTTAGTACTACCATTGTGTGGTGGTTAGTGCTTATTATAGACAATTTATTATAGACTGTGGGTTGGTTGGTGTTGTCGTCGTTGATCCTTCTCTACGGACAACCCATCCCACAACTCGGTAGAGTGCTTATACTAGGAGATCACCCTTGGCGCTTCTGGCTCTTGGAGAGGGGCTCAACGTCACACGTTTAGGGGATGCGGCTCCAACACTTAGCCTCGTTGTCACGTGCACACACCCACTCGAGCCGCTGTGACTCCCCACTCTCTCCTTATGAGATTTGATCTCCTCAATCCCCTATGACTTACTAGTATTACCTCTTACCCTGTCCACAGCAGTGGTTCTTGGCTCTTTCTCTCTCTCTCTCCTTCTTCACTACTTCCTGGGAAGCCTCACTAGGACAAGGGCAAACACCATCAAATTGTGACACATTTACTGAACAAAGCACATACACGATACATACACACATATAATAATAATGAATCCTATACTCTATAATATCACAATCAGGTTGCACTCCAACACCATCAGAACTCTATTATCAGCTTATCCAGTGGTATCCGATCTCCTGGTTCACCACCTGATACTATTAACCTCCTCAAGTTGGTCAAGCCTACGTACACTGTTGCACCATCAGCAAGATAACATATATATAGAAAATCAGCATTTGAATGCAATAACATATACCAGTATAAATGTTCATTGATACTTCAGTATAAAAAACTCGACATAAGAATGCCAAACAGTCACTCACCTCTCACTGCGTCTTGCACGCTACTGACAACCAAACACTATCAACTCCCTATAAGTAATCCACCAGAACTTCCCCTTCCACCTCTGGAAGTTCACTACCCTAATATCCTTAGGTTCTTCCGGGCTTCACTACCAGGATCCTCTGCAGCTCCTCCAGGCTGCTATCATGAAGTTTCCTTGTGCAACTACGGTGCTTCACCCTTCTGTTAGGTTCTTCCACAGCTCTCTTGGCTGCTACACCACCTCTACAGAAGCACGTGACACTCCTCTTCGCTGCTGCTTCTCCTCACAGCTCGAGGTCCTCTGCTCCACTACCTTGGAGTCTCATCAATTACTTCATCTGCTGGCTTCGAAGTTCTCAGCAACTTCTTCCCCAAAAACAAACCTGCAACCCATCGACGTTCCAATAAAATGTTCCCCTTTAACACATAAACAAAAAATATTCACACAATATGTTTGCCTCAAACCTCTATCTGTTCTCTACATACAGTGAGAGTAGACTCCCCCGTTTTGGGCGGGTCCATACTCCACCTCGCCTGGCGGCGGTCCTCACTCGCTGGGAGGGTCTTCCTCCATCCGGAGCCAGGCTCCCTCAGTCGTCCGCCAGCGCTCAGAGGGGGCGGACGTCGCTCCGTGCTCCTCCCTCTTCACTCTCCTATTTCAGGCCTTCTGCCTTATTAAAACATGTCTAACTTATAAATAAACATTGCTACTGTCGCTGGGCACACGACCAACTACAAGTGATCACTATGAACTGGCGTATATCGTGCTTACCACAGATTAATTGGTCGAGGGCGCTTTCCCTCTGACGGCGCCTGGTCAGGGCGCTCCCACGGCCCACAATAATGTCTCTGGCCGGCTTGATACTCTCTTCTTCGACCAGGACTTGAGACCACAACGTTCCCAGCTCGGTTCCACAGCTGGTACGTCCGCACACTTCTCTTCTCTTCGAGATATATCACTAGGGGTTCCCTTCTGACGGGAGCTCAACGGAGCGCGGCTTCCCCCTGCGATGTCTGGCACTCAAGTGAGGTCAAGGTCCTCCAGAAGCGAGCCTCACGCCTCCAGCAAAATGTCCACATCTCCTAGCCCGTCATTTATCTATTTTCTTCTGCATTGCCCATAATCTCAAACTGTTACACATATCCAACCAACTATTTTACATATGCGTTATCACCTCAATACTTGCTAGACCTTCTAATCAGGTCAGGCTTGACGAATAACTCTCAAGGAGGGAGACTCGTTTCTCCTGTAGGCTGAGATCATAACAGCTACCATAGTGTGGTGGTTAGTGTTCCATTGTGTGGTGGTTAGTGTTCCATTGTGTGGTGGTTAGTAATACCATTGTGTGGTGGTTAGTGTTCCATTGTGTGGTGGTTAGTACTACCATTGTGTGGTGGTTAGTGCTACCATTGTGTGGTGGTTAGTACTACCATTGTGTGGTGGTTAGTGCTACCATTGTGTGGTGGTTAGTGCTACCATTGTGTGGTGGATAGTACTACCATTGTGTGGTGGTTAGTACTACCATTGTGTGGTGGTTAGTACTACCATTGTGTGGTGGTTAGTGCTACCATTGTGTGGTGGTTAGTACTACCATTGTGTGGTGGTTAGTACTACCATTGTGTGGTGGTTAGTACTACCATTGTGTGGTGGTTAGTACTACCATTGTGTGGTGGTTAGTACTACCATTGTGTGGTCAGCGCTGCCATGGTTATCACTCATATTGTATAGTTGTTAGTTCCGTCGTTGCAGGGTGAACAGCATCCCGTTTTCTCCAAGCGACAATATACAATAATCTCATGTATTCTTGACGATATATAATTTTGCCATATAAATGTGAGGCAGCAAATTGCTGACTGTTGTTCCTTTGTTTATCTTCACAATGTTTCCCTCTACCCTGACCTCGGGGTAACTTTTGTATATTATATATAGGATTTATAACTTGCATGTTCTCTCGTTAAATCTCTCTCTCTCCACTTAAGTTAACATTGTCCTGTTTTCTCTTGCTGGGGGTGTCGGGCGGGTGCTGTAACCTTGTGCTGCCTCCCTCCCCAGAGGGCGGCAATATCAACCGGGAGGCCATGGCGGAGGCGGCGTGGCAGACGCACCTGGAGCAGCTGGTCAAGTGCGAGAAGTGCGGCCGCACCTTCTTCCCGGACCGCCTCATCGTCCACCAGAAGGCCTGCCTCAGGGACGCCTAGGGCGTCTCATCGTCCACCAGAAGGCCTGCCTCAGGGACGCCTAGGGCGTCTCATCGTCCACCAGAGGGCCTGCCTCAGGGACGTCTAGGAGCCACAACCTGCCGCCTCCAGCACTACCTGCCATGGATATAAATCAGGAATTTGATGCTGCTTCTCATTCTCTTATTTTTTTACTCCTCTTGGTCCTTAACTGCCTCTGCCTCCTCCTCCTCCTCTTCTCTGGCATCGATAGTGACCCTGGTGATGCTATACAAGAGTGGATAATGCAATCAATTCTTTTAATTTGTATCTAATCATTCATTTTCTTTAAACTTTTCTCTCCTCCATAATATCATTCAATCTCCTTCAGTCTCCTCCTACATTTTCTCTTCGTCCTTTCTTTTGTCTTTCACCTTGTTCTCCACCTTTACTCCAGGAGCCAAGAATTACATGTAGACATTCCTCCTGCTCGGGGCCTCGGTCAAAGAAACCAGCAGTTGATCAAGGACGACATCAAGACCACAGGCAACAACCTTAAGTATTGCCTGAATGACCTCAATCCTGTCACAATCAAACTCTGATCACTCTGCCTCTGATGACTTGTAAATCTCCCGCCAATATCCACACATCTCCCCCCGAAAAAGATATTGGATCTGAGGCATACCATCGCAATATATATCTGCTTTTGTTCCGACAGTTCGGGAAGATAATCATCTTACGGTTTAAATAATCATCTTACGGGGTAGGTAATCATCTTACGGTGAAGATAATCACCCTAGTGCTACACTAGACACAAAGTAGCTCTAGATGGGCAGGCTAAAGAGTGGTTTCAAGATTCAACTTTAATGGCCAAGAATTATGTGATTCACCTGGAAGGTCCTTGACTCATCTAGGAGGTACCTGATTCACCTGGGAGATATTTGACTCATCTGGGAGATATTTGACTTACGTGGGAGGTACCTGACTTACCTGAGAGGTACCTGACTCACCAGTGAGGTAACTGACTCACCACAGACTCACCAGTGAGGTATCTGACTCACTTCGTAGGAACATGACTCAACTGGAAGGTACGTGACTCACGTGTAACGTACCTGACTCACCAGAGACACAGAGAATGCTTAAGATTATGTTGTATTGGTTACCGTAAACAAACAATATACTGTATTATTTAACACTCACTTCACTTGGTGTGAAATGACTCCATTGAGCTCCGACGGTGTATAATGTGTGTAAATATAAAGTATTTTAATTCACTGCTGTTTCCTTGAAAGCTTTCCTACATGGTACAAGATTCAACACGGGAACAGTGGGCATGACAGTGCTAGAGACCACTGTCACCTGATGATCACTGGTGACGGCGGACACACGTCACTACTCAGCCTTATTAAGGTGTCAGGGAGTGTGATGGCGGTGATGGTGGTGGCGTCACTGATGGCGGTGATGTCACTGATGGCGGTGACGTCACATAAGGTGTGACGATGGTTGGGAACTGACCAGGTGCCACCATTGCCAGGGTAGAGGGCACAAAGGTGAAAGGTTGCTCCTCTGTTACAAGTTGACGTCCTGCCGCCAGTCAACAGTTCTTATACCATATCAATGTTACTTTTGCTACTGTATAGGTAGTTTTTGGATGTTTGGAGCTCGGGTGATGACAGGTGGGTGACCTGCCCTGGTGAGGCTTGGGCCAGGAGCCCCAAGGTGGGTGACCTGCCCTGGTGAGGCTTGGGCCAGGAGCCCCAAGGTGGGTGACCTGCCCTGGTGAGGCTTGGGCCAGGAGCCCCAATGTGGGTGACCTCAACTTAATTGTCGCAAGTGCATATGGCTGCCACGAGAGGTAACCGGCTGTGCTCGGGTCTCTCCTCAATTCTTTTCCCCACTTCCCTTCCGTCTCCATCCACCCTTACCACCCCTCTCCACCTCCCCACAACCCGCACTCCTGCTCTCCCGTGTTCTCTCTGTCTCTAAACATCACCCCTTCTTCCTTTTCTCCCCATCTCTCTCTATCAGAGAAAAGTGAAGAAATCTAGAGAATCAGCCAACCCCCTTTCACCGATTAGGTTGCGATGAGGAGGGTGACTTTTTCGGTCCCACTCCTTCCTAAAAGACACCTCGACCACCCTATGTCCGTCCTGTAGCCCAGACAATTCACCCTGCAAAATTGGCTGAGGCTTCACTTGACGAACAGTACTATAAGAGAAAAGATACAAATCTTCAACTGATTTAAAAACAAATGTTTCATCATCAATGAAGCAAACATTCCATCATCAATGAAACATTGACTATTAATAAAGAACAAATATGCTGCAAGATTTGCTAACAAAAAATTAATAAATAAATAAATATATATATATATATATATATATATATATATATATATATATATATATATATATATATATATATATATATATATATGTCCCGTAGCCCCGGAGAGGCTACAGGATCCAGTAAGTTCAGTAGAACTTCGGTTTCAACCCTTTTAACCCTGTCGTAGCAAAAATTATACAAATCAATAACCATGAAAATTACTTAAACTAGAAAAATTAAACAATTAAATTATATACGAAACAACAAAATTATATATAAATTAGGGAAATAAAACAAGAAAAGACTCATCCACATACTTCAGGAAAGCAGAAATCTGTGAGTAAACAGTGGAGTGGCGGCCGTCCCCAGGCCAGGCTCGTTAGAGCGGCGGCCGTCCCCAGGCCAGGCTCGTTAGAGCGGCGGCCGTCCCCAGGTCAGGCTCGTTAGAGCGGCGGCCGTCCCCAGGTCAGGTTTGTTAGAGCGGCGGCCGTCCTCAGAGACGCAGTCATCAATTATAACACTGTGTAATAAAAATAGGTGTGTTTTCATATATATATTATTATTATACACTACAGTTCAGTGTATAGTTGGGCGTGAGTTAGGTGTTAAGGTTTGATTAGTTAGGTGTTAAGGACTGTGTTTGTAGTACAAGGACAATACCAAAATGACATCGCAAGCAAGGCAAAGACAACCTAAATTACTGCACAGCCACATCAAGAGAAAAATAACAGTAAAGGAAGAGGTAATGAAATTAAGGATAGGGGCAGACGAATTCACTACAACCGACAAGGAAGTGTGTGAGGAACTGAATAAGAAATTCCAGGAAGTCTTCACATTAAAGAAACGGGAAGTTCCAGAGATAAGAGAAGGAATAGTCAACCAGGAACCACTAGAAGAGTTTGAGATTACCAGCGGGGATGTAAGGAAGCTTTGACTAGAGTTGGATGTGACAAAGGCTATAGGCTCGGATGGAATCTCCACTTGGAAACTAAAGGAAGGAGTAAAAGCACAGTGCCTGCCACTCGCCATAGTATATAACAAGTCAGTGGTAACAGGGGAATTGCCAAAAATTTGAAAGATGGCTAATGTAGTCCCGATATACAAGAAAGGGGATAGACAGGAAGCACTGAACTACAGGCCAGTGTCGCTAACCTGCATACCATGCAAGCTGATGGAGAAGATTGTGCGAAAAAAGTTAGTGGAACATCTGGAGCGAAAGAACTTTGTTACACAACATCAACATGGGTTCAGGGATGGAAAGTCCTGCCTCACAGGATCAAGTAAATTCTACGACCAGGTAACAAAAATCAGGCAAGAGAGACTTCATATTTTTGGATTGCCAGAAAGCCTTTGACACAGTACTGTACCACACAAGAGGCTAGTGAAAAAGCTGGAGATGCAGGCAGGAGTGAAAGGGAAGTGTGGGGAAATCTGGCTCTAGTTTAATACTAATAAAATGTATAATTCTATGAATGCAAAATAATAATTAATTCTAAAATAGCTCGAAGGACCAGAATTCTATTTTAAATGAGAGAGCCAGTGGCTTATGGATCGCTATGATTAAATGCAATAAATTCTATTATTCTGTTATGCAATGAACCATATATTCTATACATTCTAGAACCAGCTTCCCATGATACATTTTGGGGGTATTCTATGAGGTTAGTCTACGTGATGCATATATAATAATTGTATACATGATAATGATTATAATATGCACACACACAGATTATATGGATTAGTAAAATGTAATGCAAAAAATACTTCTGCATATTAAAGATCAAATCATGTCTATGATTAATATGCAATGATTAGAAATGTCTTGACTCTCAATAATTAAAACGGACTATCCACAATGAATGCTGATAATTCTCAGCTGTGACAGAGAAATGTAGGTGTAGTCCAGTCTCTATAACACTCTGGAATCAGCTTGAGATAGTGATCCTTGAACCATGTGAGTATATGACCGTCACACGCTTCCTCAGTGGTGTTGCACCATGCTGCAATAATTAAATTCCATAATTTCCACTCCAAACTAGTATTAACACACATAAATGCAATATCTAAATATTTGGAAGGGTGGAAACAGCACTAACATGGGGTTTATTTTCGCCCTACAGCATCACCACATGGCACCTGCCTAAATACTTATTAATGAGATCAAACAATAAATAAAGAGAGGTAAATGCCTACCGATACTGGTGTCCGTGATTCTGGTGAGCTGCGTCCTCAATCTGAAGCCCGATGATGTACGGATGCTTACAGCATTGTCTGGTATAAAAGGACCGCTTTGGTACACCGTGCTGCCAGTGTATCTAATAATGGCGAGAGTCTCCTTCCTTCCCTCTCGCGCATGCGCATGCTCGAGTAGGGGCGCAGCATAAATTATATTTATTTATTAAAGCTAAATAGGGAAGGAAGTGTTTATGACAACTGTTTATATCTTAATAAATACTTTATGTGGTAATGTTTGATTCTCACAGTGCAGGTCAGTTAATGTAGACTGCACAAATAAAACGAGAATACTTTGGAGGTGGAAATAATTTTAGATTATGATATTATTTACTAGAACAGCTATCAAGCTGGGTAAAGGAATTCCAGTAAACTTTTGTATACTAAATAAAGTAAACCTATTACTAAATAATTATCCTTAATAAAGGAAAGTAAATGGTTGGACTTCTATTAGATCTACTACAGATATGTGGAAATTTATTCTCTGTGGGTGGCTGACGCATCACTGCCACAATTCTAGGAGAAATTATTACACTTCCACATCCTAATGCAATGAATTCTGTATTACTAAACTACGGATTAGTAGTGTTAGTTAATTATGACGTTTAGTACAGGAAATACATCACATTGTACTAAGGATTAGTAAATGAGTATTAAATGATTATGAAGCCTAATACAGGAAATACATCCTATTGTATTAGGGATGCGAAATAATTGTTGGATATTTCCAACATAACTCCGGGGGCTGGAAATTACAGGTCGTAGTTCATTGTTAAGTACTAACGTACCTGTTCCCTTTCCCTGAAGTTACATTCTTATATGTTAGTAGGTTAGTATTTACATAACGAATATCTCGGATCTGTGTGACAAGTATACTCTGTTGTCACGGGTACATCTATGTAATGATTAAAGTATTATCCTATATGTCTCTTTGAGATCAAGGAGATACTGAATCTACAGTGAGATCAATGTCTAGGGTCGCAGTGACATGTAACTAGATGAGTTACTAGACACTAACTGATCACTGCAAACTCATAAATCACCTCAACATCAAACGAGGAATTCTATGTGTTTATGCAAAATTAAATTTAGCCTAAGGTGCAGTTCTTGCTGAACAAGTATTTTAGGCTATGCAATAATAATAACTAAGTTCCTAACCTAGCTAAATTCTAGATAAAGTAGAGAACTGAGTATATGGTATCAGTCTCTATGAATGCAGTCAGTGGTATGCTTTAGTGAGTACAGATTCAACTTGCACTCAGCTGACCCTAACTAATGTTCCCTAATCTACCTAAGTAGAGGGTAAATGCGAATTATATACATTAGGCTACAGTGCTATAACTCTCTGGAGGTATAATTAAGCACATATAGCAACCTAAGATTCTGAATGAGCAGTAGACCTGCACGGTTTATACACATTAAATTAGAGTACTATAACTCTCTGGAGGTATAGTTAAACACGTGATAACTTAAAGATGAATATGAGTGTATTCTGTTATGAGAAACAATTTGTTTCACTACTAATAGTCTTCTGGTAAATGTTCATTTACAAGCTGTTGCAAAGTTCAATTTTGCTTGTGCTTCAAACTGTCTCTAAGATGCTTGTGGGCAGAAACAATAAGTAGAAGCAGCTCAAACAAAACTGATACAACCCTGCAGGTATATCATATTAAATGGATTACTAAATCTTAGTCCAGACGACTTGGTATAAATGCAGTCTTCTCTGAAAGACTTACCTAAGGTATGATAAATGCGATGAGGACTGAATGTGGTCAATTATTACTGTCGAGAATAGTTCTGGGTCTACAGGGGGGTCAGTGACATTTGTCGCTGTGACGTGAACCGGTTTAGGCTGCTGGTCACTGATTTATCCACTGAGATCCATAGAAACTAACTCGGCTAATACTAATTGTACCAGACTCAATCTGGAATTAATGTTGGTTGTCAGCTGGCATAGGCTTCTTCAGGTTCAAGACTCTACCTGTTAGTAAGTAACCTCCTGCTGAATTCAATAAGTTCATTCCCTGTTGGCTTGTGGTTCCAGTAATGAACTGATAATAATGGTCTGCCCCTACTAATATATCTACATTGGTGAGGTGGTCAGACGTTATCTTGGTGTCAGCCAGTTTGATTCTATTTTTCTGCAAAAATCTGGCTGTGTCCCTTAGACCTTTGACATTCAGGTCAAGAGGGATGCGATCAACTACTATGGCCTGGACAGGTTGGACATAACCGCCTAGGCGTACTAGTGGTTGTACTACTTCATATTCTTGAGGTCCTGTTTCTGTTAGGAATCTTGCTATGTTCAATGTCACCTTACACAAGGGTTTAAGTTTCAGCTGGTTAGCTGCTTGTTGAGTGATGAACGTTCTCAGTGATCCCTGGTCGAATAGACCTCTTGTAGTGATTCTAGAATTCTTGTTATTTAATTGTAGTTGTGCAGTAGGTAATACGGCATTACTATGAGACTTGGTATTAAGTACCTTAGCCTCTTGTCGTACCTTGCAGCACAGCACAGTGGTGGAAGTATCCTGTTCCACCTGGAGTTTAGGCGATTTGGGCCTATCAACTCCACACAATGCGGAATGGTGTTGATCCTGGTGGCACCTGTTACATATGTGTAATGGGGTGGTGCAGGTATTAGGATCATGTTGCATCAAGCACCTGGTGCACTTGTGCAATTCCTTGAGGCGCTTTATCCTAGAAACGCGATCAGGAAAGGTTTGACACTGATAAATGGTATGATTCTCTTGACAGAATAGACAGCATCTCCTTCCTGTAGCAGATGCAGGAGTCACTGCTTTGGGTGACGTATGGACTACAGGTTTAGAAGGGCTGACTGGATGAGCATCCATGCTGTTATTTGCTTGCACCTTGCAGCACTGTACTTGAGTGGATTTTCCATCTCGCACCCTGGTGTTTAAATGCTTTGATTTAGTATGCTTGCACAGTGCAGCATGATGCTGCCCTCTTCGACACCTATTGCATGTGTTCAATGGGGTCTCACAGCTGGTTGCATTATGCGGTTTGAGACACCTGGTACATCTGTGTAGCTGCTTGAGTCGTCTGACTCGGGTGTCTCTATTAGGATAACTTGTACATTTATATGAGGAATGATCTTGATGGCAAAACACACATAACCCTCGACCTACAGCTCGTTTAAGGGGCACCGGTTTAGGTGAAACTGCAACTACAGGTTGTGAAGGTTTTGCTGCTTGCATATGCTTGCTGTTTTGATGCATAGGAGTACTTGTTGTACTCTTAGGTCTCACTGATAAATCAGTGTTCGACCTGAACACTGATTTATCGTTCGACCTGAACGCTAGATGAATTATTTGTACCCGTATTACCTAAAGACTGTCATTTTAGGAGGTTCAGTTAAGGAGTCTGATGTGGGTACATTTTCTGTAGATTTGGTGTAGGCTACAAGCGCCTGGTTTGCTTGTCTCTTCTTCATGACTAAATGCAAACCTTCTATGATATCCTGCATAGTCAGGATGGTATTCTCTTGATGAGCTATATCCAATAACTGGCATACGAGATTTATGATAGTCCTTTCTTTATCCTTAGGACCATCACTATTCTGATTCAAAGTTACTGATTCAGCTTCAGCCTTTATTTCAGCTTCGGCTTCTGATTCAGTTTCACCAACTTAGTTCACTTGGGAGGCATAATGATTCAGTAGCCTCATGCACTGAGTTCTCTGAATCCATAGAACTCATGGATAAATTGTACGGATGCTTACAGCATTGTCTGGTATAAAAGGACCGCTTTGGTACACCGTGCTGCCAGTGTATCTAATAATGGCGAGAGAGTCCTCCTTCCCTCTCGGGGGACGCGCATGCGCGATAGGTCCGCATAAATTATATTTATTCATTAAAGCTAAATATGGAAGGAATTGTTTATGAGAACTGTTTATATCTTAATTAAATACTTTCTGTGGTAAGGTTTGATTCTGACAGTGCAGGTCAGTTCATGTAGACTGCACAAATAAAACAAGAATACTTTGGAGGTGGAAATGATTTTAGATTATGATATTATTTACTAGAACAGCTATCAAGCTGGGTAAAGGAATTCCAGTAAACTTTTGTATACTAAATAAAGTAAACCTATTACTAAATAATTATCCCTAATAAAGAAAAGTAAATGGTTGGACTTCTATTAGATCTTCTGATATGTGGAAATTTATTCTCTGTGGGTGGCTGACGAAATACTGCCACGATTCTAGAGAAATTTTATGATGTTCCACATCCTAATGCAATGAATTCTGTGATACTAAACTACAGATTAGTAGTGTTAGTTAATTATGACACTTAGTACAGGAAATACATCCCATTGTACTTAGGATTAGTAAATGAGTATTAAATTATTATGAAGCCTAATACATGCTATTGTATTAGGGATGCGAAATAATTGTTGGATATTTCCAACAACATTAGAACAGCCTTCTAGAACCTGTGTAAGGAATAATTCAGAACCTTGTACACAGCATATGTAAGACTAATCCTGGAGTATGCTGCCCCAGCAAGGAGCCCGTACCTTGTCAAGCACAAGACGAAACTGGAAAAAGTTCAGAGGTATGTCACTAGGCTAGTTCCAGAACTAAGAGGCATGAGTTAACGACACTGGAAGACAGAAGAGTAAGGGGGGAGACATGATCACTACCTACAAAATTCTCAGGGGAATTGACAGGGTAGATAAGGATAAACTGTTTAACACGGATGGTACGTGAACAAAGGGACAGATGTGGAGACTGAGCCCCCAAATGAGCCACAGAGACTAATTTGGGTGTAAGGTCTTAAACTCCTGTAAGACCTTAATTTCAATATCCAATATAATCCGAACAGAGACTGAAAGCTTATTTGGTAAGGTTTTATTTCAATTCAGTTTAGGACAGAAACTTGGAAAATGTAAACTTACTCCAGTGAATGTTAGTTTACGGTACACTCAGGCGGAAACTTCTCCCCCAATATTAGTAATCATTGAGTCAAGAAAGATTTTGTTTTAAATATCTTGCCCTTCTTAAGTAGAAATCAAATTCAAAATTTGGATTTTAAATATGTAACTAAAACATTCACATGCGGGTGATCAGTCAAGAAATATGAAAGAAAGCATCTAAAACAGGGATCAATAATAGCATTACACTGTGTGGGACAAGATCCCTGGTAGTTACACTGTGTGGGACAAGATCCCTGGTAGTTACACTGTGTGGGACAAGATCCCTGGTAGTTACACTGTGGGACAGGAGCCCTGGTAGTTACACTGTGGGACAGGAGCCCTGGTAGTTACACTGTGGGACAGGAGCCCTGGTAGTTACACTGTGGGACAGGAGCCCTGGTAGTTACACTGTGTGGGACAAGATCCCTGGTAGTTACACTGTGTGGGACGGAGCCCTGGTAATTACACTGTGTGGGACGGAGCCCTGGTAATTACACTGTGTGGGACGGAGCCCTGGTAATTACACTGTGTGGGACGGAGCCCTGGTAATTACACTGTGTGGGACAGGAGCCCTGGTAATTACACTGTGTGGGACGGAGCCCTGGTAATTACACTGTGTGGGACAGGAGCCCTGGTAATTACACTGTGTGGGACGGAGCCCTGGTAATTACACTGTGTGGGACAGGAGCCCTGGTAATTACACTGTGTGGGACAGGAGCCCTGGTAATTACACTGTGTGGGACAGGAGCCCTGGTAATTACACTGTGTGGGACAGGAGCCCTGGTAATTACACTGTGTGGGACAGGAGCCCTGGTAATTACACTGTGTGGGACAGGAGCCCTGGTAATTACACTGTGTGGGACAGGAGCCCTGGTAATTACACTGTGTGGGACAGGAGCCCTGGTAATTACACTGTGTGGGACAGGAGCCCTGGTAATTACACTGTGTGGGACAGGAGCCCTGGTAATTACACTGTGTGGGACAGGAGCCCTGGTAATTACACTGTGTGGGACAGGAGCCCTGGTAATTACACTGTGTGGGACAGGAGCCCTGGTAATTACACTGTGTGGGACAGGAGCCCTGGTAATTACACTGTGTGGGACGGAGCCCTGGTAATTACACTGTGTGGGACAGGAGCCCTGGTAATTACACTGTGTGGGACGGAGCCCTGGTAATTACACTGTGTGGGACGGAGCCCTGGTAATTACACTGTGTGACACCCCAGATAAGTCAGCTGTGTCACCTGAGAGTACGACAAAGCCTCCCCCAAGTGAACCAAGCGGATAAGTAAAGTGAAGTAAGTTTACTGAGGTATAACTACCCACAAGAGGGGTGGGTGGCGAGGTGGCTCAAGCAGTTCTCATCCTGTAGCGGGCGCGGACTTGCCTAATAATAGTAACATGAGAGTGAGGAGAGGAGCCACGTACGTCAGACTCGAGTGCAGTAAGTGACAACCCTCACAACGTGTCAACTCTCTCATACATGCACCAAACAATGCAATTGGCGGCCTAAACCCGAAAGAGTAACCAGGTGATTTGGACCAGGTTACTTTTATGGTAATTTGAAAACCCACAAAACAGCTTCCCGCGTAGGCCTACAAATTTTACACCCCCCCCCCCCCCCACTACGCCTGCTAATAAGTCCCAGAGACTGAATCATGTATTAATCTCCGTACATCCCATTACATTCTGACTTAAATATTCTAGCGTGTATCTTGTCATACATATATACTTGCGACTCTACATGACACGTAAATAGTACATATACACAAATGTATATTAATTGTGACAAATGTTAAAACATCCTAATGTAGTCAAGTGGACACGTCACAGTGGACACGTCACAGTGGACTCTCAGTGGACACGTCACAGTGGACTCTCAGTGGACACGTCACAGTGGACTCTCAGTGGACACGTCACAGTGGACTCTCAGTGGACACGTCACAGTGGACACGTCACAGTGGACTCTCAGTGGACACGTCACAGTGGACTCTCAGTGGACACGTCACAGTGGACTCTCAGTGGACACGTCACAGTGGACACGTCACAGTGGACTCTCAGTGGACACGTCACAGTGGACTCTCAGTGGACACGTCACATTGGACACGTCACAGTGGACACGTCACAGTGGACTCTCAGTGGACACGTCACAGTGGACACGTCACAGTGGACTCTCAGTGGACACGTCACTCAGTGGACACGTCTCAGTGGACACGTCACAGTGGACGTCTCAGTGGACACGTCTCAGTGGACACGTCACAGTGGGCACGTCTCAGTGGACACGTCACAGTGGGCACGTCTCAGTGGGCACGTCACAGTGGACACGTCTCAGTGGACACGTCACAGTGGACACGTCACTCAGTGGGCACGTCCCTCAGTGGGCACGTCACAGTGGGCACGTCCCTCAGTGGGCACGTCCCTCAGTGGGCACGTCCCTCAGTGGGCACGTCCCTCAGTGGGCACGTCCCTCAGTGGACGTCCCTCAGTGGGCACGTCACATTGGGCACGTCACTCAGTGGGCACGTCCCTCAGTGGGCACGTCACAGTGGGCACGTCCCTCAGTGGGCACGTCCCTCAGTGGGCACGTCCCTCAGTGGGTACGTCCCTCAGTGGACACGTCACAGTGGGCACGTCTCAGTGGGCACGTCTCTCAGTGGGCACGTCCCTCAGTGGACACGTCCCTCAGTGGGCACGTCCCTCAGTGGGCACGTCCCTCAGTGGGCACGTCCCTCAGTGGGCACGTCCCTCAGTGGGCACGTGTGGGTGGTCTCTCAGTGGACACGTCACAGTGGACTCTCAGTGGACACGTCCCTCAGTGGGCACGTCTCAGTGGGCACGTCCCAGTGGGCACGTCACAGTGGACTCTCAGTGGGCACGTCCCTCAGTGGGCACGTCACAGTGGGCACGTCACAGTGGACTCTCAGTGGGCACGTCCCTCAGTGGGCACGTCCCTCAGTGGACTCTCAGTGGGCACGTCACTCAGTGGGCACGTCACTCAGTGGGCACGTCTCAGTGGGCACGTCCCTCAGTGGGCACGTCCCTCAGTGGGTACGTCACTCAGTGGGCACGTCCCTCAGTGGACTCTCAGTGGGCACGTCACAATGGACTCAGTGGGCACGTCCCTCAGTGGGCACGTGTGGGCACGTCTCTCAGTGGACACGTCACATTGGACACGTCCCTCAGTGGGCACGTCACAGCACGTCTCTCAGTGGGCACGTCCCTCAGTGGGCACGTCTCAGTGGGCACGTCCCTCAGTGGGCACGTCCCTCAGTGGGCACGTCTCTCAGTGGGCACGTCACTCAGTGGGCACGTCACAGTGGGCACGTCACTCAGTGGGCACGTCACAGTGGGCACGTCACTCAGTGGGCACGTCCCTCAGTGGGCACGTCCCTCAGTGGGCACGTCCCTTAGTGGGCACTCTCAGTGGGCACGTCCCAGTGGACTCTCAGTGGACACGTCTCAGTGGACACACAGTGGACCCTCAGTGGACACGTCACAGTGGGCACGTCCAGTGGACTCTCAGTGGGCACGTCCCTCAGTGGGCACTCAGTGGGCACGTCTCTCAGTGGGCACGTCCCTCAGTGGGCACGTCTCAGTGGGCACGTCCCTCAGTGGGCACGTCCCTCAGTGGGCACGTCTCAGTGGACACGTCTCAGTGGGCACGTCTCAGTGGACTCTCAGTGGGCACGTCTCAGT